AGTATGACATATGATTCTTGAAGGATGTTGTGACTTTGAATGATAGAGGATGTTATGGTCTATTTTAAGACTTAATTAGTTAACTTCTCATAGATGTAAATTCACAAAGAACTTCTTTTGTTTTTGTAATTTATTGGTGTGTTTACTACTAAAACTTACTGAAATGCATTGTTTAAGTTAGACCATATTTTTCTGTCTGCCTGTCCACAATTAATGTTCACGAACTGCTGAACAGATTTGTCCAAAATGAAATATTGGGAAATTGTCTTAAAATTTGTCAGCACCTTTCAATTGTTGCTTGTTTCGGACAATATTAACAGGCACTTTGCACATGGTAGTGAGTGGATGTGGAATTCCTCATCCATTCACAATGGCCAAAGGTAAAATTATAGTCATCAGAATTGTTATGTTGTGTATATATTTCCTAACTTGTTTGTGATCAATTTCTTTGGTGGTTCTCTCATAGGTTTGATTACATGTATTTTTTCCATTGTTCATGGTCTATTCTTTGTTCAGTCAGTATTTTGAAAACTTGATTGTGCATACAAATTAAACTTTTCTCCTTTACAGAAAATGTAAATATTCTTGGGTCAGATGACGTCACAACATGCATCGTTGCTCTCCGTCATTCAGGTAAGTGTTTAAATTATAAGTTGCAGTAACTGTCGTACTGCAGCACAACATATTAGACGGTATAATATGGAGTAAAATAGGCAGCGGAATTCACCATAAATCTGTCAGTGCCCGAAACATATTTATACTGATCTGAAAATCTGATGTATTGGAACCTGTCCTTTTTGAGATGAATCCAGTTCACATCCTGGTGAGACAGGTAGTAGATGCTGAGGAATAAATTAATGCTGTGCATTTCATTGTTTATGTAATTGTCTTTAGTTAGTGTATCTGGCACAGTCAATTTAGCAGAAACTTTATGTAGTTACAAATTGATACACCGTAACCAACATCCAGCTTCTCCTGTTGAGAATGCCTGTCTCTTCACCTGACCGCTCT